CTTAGATAAAGGTATGTCTGTTAGACAAAAACCAAGTTCAATTTGGCTTTTCCACCCACATTCTTGAGTCCTAAACCCAGCTGCTGCTTTCTGGAAAGCCGTTTGACAACCGCTTTCTCCCTTGTCCCTCTGCTGCATCTTGGCCCCAGCACAGCAAGAACAAGCAAGGCGCTGACTCCTTCAGAGACTCTCACTGTGAGAGAGACTTGGAGGGATTCTGCTTCCTTGGTGTTGAGCACCACGGGAACCACTGTGGGGTGTTTTCCCAAGTGGCCCGGCACTGCCATCTGTGTGGTATGTGCACATGTTTTTACACGCACAGATTTTACGAGCATTGGAGAAACATTGAGTGATGTCTCGTTAGCAGTTCTGCCAGGGCTCACGTGGCCGCAGTCTGTTGAGATCCGACAGCTTTTCTTGCCACTTTTCTTGCAGATTGTTTTTTGCTCTCGCTCTCAAGCTTCTCAGCCTTGCTTACTGCTTCAAAGACATGAGTTTGTAAGGACAGTGGCTGCCCAGAGACTGGCACCTATAGACACATCCGGATCTTCCGTTTGATCTCAGTTCTAGGAACAGGACCCTCGGTAATCCCTGCCTGGGCCTCCCAGAGTGACTGCTTCTCCTCTACCTGTGGAGAGTGTGAGAGGTGGCCCTGGTACCCACTCTTCGCTGAGCTTGCTTTGTATTTTCTGGGTTGCGCTTCTTCATGTTGGCTCGTTGCCACATGTCCATTTTCCATGCCTTCTTGCAAAATGGACCCTTTCCTTCCTCTTCATTCCTGCATTTGCTTTGTCTTTTAAAAGCCAGGAGCAGACTAGATTCATTTTCCCAACCAGCTGCACAGGAGCTATGGTGTCAGGCTGGTGGAGAAAAGATCATGCTTTTGGTTTGTTTTCTAAAGAACCAGAGGAGACACTGGGATACCCATGCTTGCCCACCAGGAATTGCTTCCCTAGCAAAACTGCATTTCAAACTGTGGGTTGATATCTTTGTGATAGTTTTGAAGCAGAACTAAGGAAGTGAAGTTCCTATGTAATGTTTTGCATTCTTCATATTTAAATAAAAATGATTCAAGGAGAAAGGCTATCCATTGGTCCTTCATATAGCTTCATGCTGTGACATGTCATATCTCCCAAGTTGGCATAGACTGCATGAAGTATCTGCAAAGCTGCGGCCTCCAGGAATGTTTTCAAAGAGGTTAGCTTTACATAATGAAAGAGCAGAACTCCCTTTCCTAAGGTAACAGACAGTTTTGTCTCAAATTGCTCACTGTGGCCCTGGTTTCAAAATTCCCACTCATCTTTCATTGGACATGCTGGTCTGTCCTGATCAATGTGTGCTTCCTAGTGACACTGCTGGCATCTCAGACTTCCTCCAATCCTGAATTGGCTGGAATGTCAGCTCAGTCTCCTCCCTGTTCCCTGCTGCCCACTGAGTGTTCTGAGTCTCAACTTACTAAGGGCTGGCTTCTTAGTTACACTCTGTTTTACCTTTCCTCAGCCCATGTCACCAGAAGAACAGTTTGAGCAACAGCCTATCCATTTTATAGTCGGAGACCCAGAGACAAGCCTTGAAGCCCCTCTTCCGGCTACAGCCCCTCGAGTCCCTCCTGTTCCCAAGCCAAGAACATTTCAGCCCAGTAAAGGTGACGAGAGGAGGCCCAGCAGTGGAAAGCCAGTGCCAGATGAAGCCCCCCTTGTGGCAGGAGCCACCATGCCACCTGCTCCAGAGGCTCCATCTCTGGTGCCTAGGGTGCCCCCAAGGAGGAAGAAGTCTGCACCAGCAGCCTTCCATCTGCAGGTTCTGCAGAGCAACAGCCAGCTCCTCCAAGACCTCACCTGCAGCAGCGGCAACGGCAGCAGCAGCAGCAGCAGCAGCTGTCTATCCGGACACCAGCCCAACACTGATAATCTCTTTCCACAAGTGGGTTTTCTTGGCACTACATCTGCCACAAGCCCAGAAACTGATAGCTCCAGAGTAATGAAGCCAGAAGCAGCCTCCCTTCTTGGTGATTATCCGGATCCCTTCTGGAACCTTCTCCACTACCCTAAGCTGTTGAATAATGCCTGGCTTTCCAAGAGCTCTGATCCTTTGAATGCAGGGGCCAGGAGCCCTGAGAAGGCACCCAGAGACCCAGCACAGGTCAGCACTTCAGAAGCTGCTGAGGGCAAGATGCCATTAGACCATGGGGGAGAAACCTTTGGTCACTGGGTGACCATCAGTGACAAAGACAAGAGGATGACACTGCAGGTGTTTGACCCACTGACAAAAACATGACGGACAACTCTGAAGGCACTCCTTCGCAGAATGGAGCCCTTCTTCCCCATAGGCAAGGCTTGAGCAGGGCAAAGCAGACATCTATTTAAAGGCACACTGAAAAGAACATTAGTGCATCTGTCACTCTTGTGTAGTTTACGACAACTCTTTTTCAATAAGATTGTTCAGCTATGAATATGGTTTATTCAAGATTTGTGCATTTTAAATTTGCTCACAGGGGAACAGGATGACTCCTGTTAGGTTCAGTGTGTGAATTTTAAGGAAGGAAATCTAGCTATAAGGCCCAAGAAATTCTCTCCCGTTGAATTTTAAATGGTTGTTCAAATTTTGTGTGTACGTAGTAGAGTTTTTGTTTCATGTTGTTTGTATTTTACAGATTTGGAATAACTCTTAGGTGACCCACCTGAAAGTTGATGCATAAAGGATGATACTAAAAGTAGTTGGGAACAGTAAAAGTTGTTCCTGGCCTACTTTAAACCAGGTTTTAAAAATCAGAGATGGACATGACACTTGGTCAACCAAATGTCTAGACTTGTATATTCCTGTGAGCCCTTGTTTATTTATATAGTCCTTCCAATCTGCAGGTTCTTTAGCCACAGATTCAACCAACCACTCATCAAAAATATTGTTTAAAAACTGCACATGTACTGAACACACCAGACATTTTTCTTGTCATTATTCCCTAAACATTACACTCTAACAACTATTTGCACAGCATTTATGCTTTATTAGGTATTATAAGTAATCTTGAGATAATTTATGGGAAGACACGCATGGGCTTATGTGCAAATACTATGCCACTTTATATAAGGAGACTTGTGCATCTGTGGACTGTGGTGTCTAAGAGGGTCCTTGAAGCGATGCCCAAGAATTCTAAGAGGTACCCTTGATTATATGTAAATCTCATGGGATTTACACTATCTTGGTTCTAAAGCATACACCATTAGCTTACCCTCAGTTTAAACTAGCCGAAGACTCCTGGACCATGTCTTAGACACTGCATGCTCTTTAAATTGCTGTGGTCTTGAACTTTGGTGTGCTGTTCACAGCAGGTGGTATCCACCCTCTGGTCCTTATTAACTGAAACCTCATGGACTCTTTCTTCCCCTTGTATTCCAAATCCCATGAAGGCACCAAATGTGAAAACTCATCCTGGCACATATAATATTTTCATTGTTATTTGTTTCAACTTATCTACCTGGTTGTGGCTTTAGGAAGGAAAGAATTCTGTTTCCCTGTATATAACAATTCCCAGGGCTTTATATCTGGGTTTGCTTATCTGTTTGTTAGGTTTATTTTATTTTATTTTTTTCTGTATGTTTTTCCTATACATTTCCAACACAACTTCTCAAATATTCAAGAATTAAGATCACTGTACTATTTCATATTTTAAGATCAATGTTATAAGGTCTAGAATTCATTTGGAGCAGATATACTATTGCTTAGAACAAGTTCACCAGTAAAATCTCACTGAGTCACCTGTCATATTTAGGTCTTTCACATGACCAATCACAGCAGTGATACTGTTGTCCCTTATGCAGCACAGGGGGCATCCTGTACCAAATGCTATTGGCTGGGATAATCATGGTCATCTTACCTAGGATTACTACTCTTCATTACCAATAAGACCTCTGAGATTTTTTGATTTGTTTTTGTTGTCACTGTCAACAGACTGTAAGTCATATCTGGTTCTCAAACAAAATTTTGTGTATATCACTCCTTCTGAAAATTAATAAAAATCAGTGCCCCACAGAGATGAACAGGCACACAGTTGAGCAGTCACAGAAGATGTTGATTAGGTGATCAGAGTGCCATTGATGGCACTTACATACTTGAAAGGATTATGTTGTCCACTTCTTATTTGTTTGAGGTAAAAATCATAGAGAGTTAAGGGGAGAAAGCAAGATGGGTTGCTTGGAGTTAAATGATTGGCCAAGATGCACATTGCTACTAACTTGTAAAATCTGGTTAGAATTGAAGATTTCTTCATTCAAATGCTGTTTTCCCTCTACCCTCTTTTCCCACCAAAACCAAAATAACAATAAAAGACCACAGGCAGATTTGAAAGCAGATATATTTTACAACCAGTCAGAAAAGCAGAGGGAATCAGCCCCACAAAAGCTGCTTGCAAGAGGTGGGCAGTGGGCCTAATCTGTAGGTCTTTCCTTGTTCTAGATACTAGCAAATAGCAAATGAATGGTACAGAATAAAAAGGTAAAGTTCCATTAAGACAAGTGCTCATCAGACAGGTCACTCGAGATCTGACGGTTACTGTTAACACAGAAAATTTTGTTGATCTAGGAATGCAAGAAAATTTACAAGTAAAGAATTGACCAGGGGGCTGGGGTAGTGGCTCAGCAGTAGAGCACTCACCTGGCACGTGCAGGACCCTGGGTTTGATCCTCAGCACCACATATAAATAAATAAGTGAAATAAAGGCATTGTATCCAACTACAACTAAAAAATAAATCTTAAAAAAAAAAAAGAATTGACCAAGTATTAGTGGATCATGGGTGTTCACATTTAGTGAACAATATATACTGGATTTTGAGTTGGCAATATGCATGGTCCTCACACCAGAGTTCTTTTAAGAATGGAGGAAAGTTGGAATAGCTTCATCTATTTTCTTAAATCAATGTTTATTAGCTGGAAGGTTTGTCAAGTTAGCATCAGAGTCTGTTAAATAACCTTGATCATGACCAGCTGTCTCGGAAGGAATTTCATTTTTTTTTTTTTTTGGTCTGCTGTGATGCTACCATAAGGACTTCTTCGTATGACCTATGGTTTCATTACCGATGTTCTGAAACATAGTGGAAGTAGAGTGCTTAGTAGCGTACTCACCAGTCAGCATTGGCTCTCTGACCACAAGCTAGTCCCTTTTAAAACAATCTTCTCAGACTTCTTGCCCATTTTTAGAATTTGTTCTGGTAAGTGACTGAAATCAGGACATCTGTCCAAGCAATGCCTGAAAATGTTGAAAGTTGTTAAAAGTTAAAGATACTTAATAAAACTGACATACGTATAAGTAGAAACAAAGTATGTATTAAAAACTTCATGGGTGATGAAGGAACACTGCAAAGGTGTTTGATTGTGGGGGATGAGTGATTAATAAAAACCCTATAATATTTTTTGAAGTGGTAAATTTGTACTGATGTTGTACAGAATATCTATTAAATATTTTTGTCTTTTTAATTGGGCTTATTTCTTTTCAGATATGAAGAAAACCTTGGAATATCTTATATGGCTAGCCTTCTGTTCTGGATCAAATGTTTGTTATTCCTATATGTGAGTTTTTTGTTTTGGTTCATTTTCGTAACCATCAAATTACATTGAAAAAGCAAAAACAATCAGGTTAAGTTTTTTTTTACTTGAAAGGTGCTAGCAGGGACTACTGCCGTGCATACTCTGTAACTATGCCACACTGTCTGTAAGACCTGGGAGATGATGGAATGCAACTTCTCTTGGGCCTTACAGCAAATTTCAGAGCTCAAGCTGGTGGGAGCACATTACAGTGTAGAGGCAGGAGGAAGGAAGTACTATTCAAGTTCTGTTCTGGTGTGTTCTATGCCAAACACCACACAAAATATGTCACAATGTTCTTTGGTGGGTTTTGAGGAATGAGAATATACTGATAATTCAACCATAAATATGGCTGGTCCTTCAGGACCTGTGAGGAGTATCACATTGGATTCACTTACTCTGGGTGCATGGCACTGTGACTCGGGAAGAACCTTCCTTTCCAAGGCACTGGTGGAGATGGGCCTTATACTCATTCATACAAGGTAAACTGTTTGCCTGTATATGAGATGACAAGAGTTTAAGTAAGTGATTGTCAACAAAGGATCAGGGAACACTTGAAAAAAGAGGGTTAAGTATTTTTTGTTTGTTTACTTTCTTAGAGGACAGCAAAGTTGAGCAGGACATAGTTCCCATACACCACTTACTTCCATGCATTCAGCCTCCCTGTACTGATGTCCTGCACCAGAATGGTACATTTGTCATAACCAATTGACCTGCATTGACATATCATTATCACCCAAGGCCATAGTTTACTTGGGCTTTACTCCATGGGTCTGGACAATTGTATAATGACAGGTATTACAGGGTCCTGTGCCAGCAGCTTCACGGCTCTGAAAACTCTCTGCTCTGCCTGTTCCTCCCTCCCCACCCTGCAGCCCCTGGCACCCACTGATCTTTTCATCATCTCCATAGTTTTATTTAGAGCTGGAATCATGCACTACATTGCTGCCTCGTACTGGCTTCCTTCCATTACCAACACGCATGTAGGCTTCCTCCATGGCTTTTTATTCATGTCTTTTTAGTGCTAAGTATTCTACTGGCTGGATGTACCACAGTTGATTTATCCATTCCCCTTCTGAAGGATATTTTGGTTGCTTTCAGGTTTTGTCAGTTTACCAAAGAGGGCAATTGCTGGATCATATGTAACAGTATGTTTTGTAGCAAACTGCCATGCCATCTTCCGAGGTGTCTAGTCTGGTTTGCATTCTCATCAACAATGAATGAGGGTTCCTTTGGCTCCACATCCTCATCAACATTTGTTGTATTTTTGGATTTGGGTCATTCTAGTAAGTACTCAGTGGCATCTTCTTGTTTTCCACCTGTATATTTTTGGTGAGACATCTACCCAAATCATTAGCCCCTTTTAAATTGGATTGTTCAATTTCTTGCTATTGAGTTTTAAGAATTATTTATATATTTTGGATATAGATGTTTTTAGATGTGGCTTTTGCAAATATTTTCTTAGTCTGTGTTGCCTTCTCATTCTCTTGGCATTATCTTTTGTAAAGCAGAATTAAGAATGTGAAAAGTAACAAAGTGGATTTATGTACCTGGAAGGGATATTAGCTGATGGGAGAAACAATTTCAAAGGATTAAATGAGTTTAGATGATGAAATATTGGGTAGTGGTGATATCTGTGTGTGTGTAGGATGGTCAAGGTGACAGGCTTTGCCTAATAGCAGCTTGTCAAAGCATCTGGAATTAGTTTATTAATAGTGTGAATTAGGGGCCCCCACACCTTCTTACTGAGGGATCATTAGACAAGTACACTTAATAACAAGCCATTGCTCATGCTTCCTTAATTGTTTCTCAAGAGAGTTAATTTTGTTGACATTTTCAAATAACAACTTCAGGATTTATATACATTATTTGAATTTCTTTTCAATGTTTAAAATATTTTCATTAATTTCAACTTTAATTTGTATCTGTTTTCTATGTTTTAACTTCGTTCTTTTCCTTATCTTAATTAAAAGTACTAGTTTCCATTTTTTTTCACAATAAAGATATTTAAGATTATACATTTCCACCTAATTATAGCCTAACAGCACCCTAAACATTTTGGCATGAATTATTAGATTATAATTTTGCTTTTATTTTCTCTTTATTTAGGTGGCTGTGTACATTCCAAGTAAAGGTTGTTCTGTGGTTTTTGTTTTTGTTATTGGCAATTTAAAGTTACTTTTAATTGTATTGTAGTGTGACCTGAGAATATAACCTAGTAATGCATTTACTTTTCAAAATTGTTTGTTGTTGTGTGCAGATTTTTTTTTTTTTTAAACTGGGCATTAAACACAAGGCCTTGTGCTTGCTTAGCGAGAATTCTCCCACTAGCTGTAACTCCAACCTTTTTAAGTTTTTGAGACAGTGTCTCACTAAGTTGCCTAGATTGGCCTTGAATTTGTGATACTCCTGCCTCAGCTTGCTGATTACAGGCCTGGTGCAAGATTTGTTTGTTTGTTAGTTGGTACCAGGGATTGAACCCAGGGGTGTTCTACTGAACCACATCCCCAGCCCCTTTTTATATTTTATTTAGAGATAGGGTCTCTTGAACTCACAATCCTCCTGCCTCAGACTCCCTAGCTGCTGGGATTACAGGTGTGCAGCACCACACCTGGCCACAAGATATATTTTTTAAGTGATTTCAGTAATACAAAAAATCTTTTTCTTTGGTTGTAGGGTGCAAAAGTGTGTGTGTGTGTGTGTGTGTGTGTGTGTGTAGAGAAAGACAGAGAAAGAGCAAGGTTGATTAATTTCCTCTATGTATTGCTAGACAGGTTCTCATGTAGGGCAGATCTGGAGAGGGGGATACTGCCCACTGTAACCAAGAACCAAGAATCTGTAGATTTTGTTGAATAAATAAATGCTTCTCAATTTGTTAAGTTTTTTGATTACTATTAAGACTTTGAATGACAGATTGCCTTTTGACCAGTAGTAGATGTTTCTCTGGGGGAGAGGGTCTCCTTAGCTGGCATAATTCTAATCCTTGGGGCTCTCTGTCCTGTGCCATTGGTCTGTCTATGCCTGAATCAATACTACATTGATTCATTTCATTTAACTTTGGTATCTGGTGAAACAAACCTTCCCACTGTAACCTTTTTCTTTAATGATTATCTTGGCTATTCTTAACTCCATATAAATTTTAGAATCAATGCAAATTCAATCTTAAAAAAGAGAAACTTATTCAAATTTTTGGAATTTTCAACTGCATGCAATAAAACTGACATCTTTATAACATTAAGTCTTCAATTTAAGGACAATGGTATATGTCTATATTTAAAGTTTACATTAACAGTTCTAAAAATCATTAATTTGTTGTAAAAATTTTAACATATGAAATCAGTGTGAACCCTCAGATATCAGATATATCTAGATTTAATAATTAACATTTTGCTGTATGTCTATGGGTTTTTCTTTTAAGTATTTTAAAATAGTTCGGCTATCACATTTGACTCCTAAATATTTTAAATATTTCTCTAACATTTTTATATCCTTAATACCATATCTGATAATTTTAAAATTCATTTGCTATTTTTGTGAATATACTTAGAGGTTTTCTATATATTGATTGCATCAGCAACTTGCTTTCAAAAAAATTCTGAAAATTTAATGTACTTTAATATACCTAATATGCCACCACATATAAAAAACATCATTTATATACCATTACTCTTAAGAAGGCTTCAGTTACCATGAAGCATCTATTGTGAGATGCAGCCCAATTACAGAGATGTTAAAATATTTCAAAATGTCTTGGAATTGACAAAATATGATGTATCAGTGCTTTTTGATTTTTTAAAATATATTTTTCGTTGTAGTTGGACACAATATCTTTATTTATTTTTATGTGGTGCTGAGGATCAAACCCAGCAAGGTGGGCACTCTACCACTGAGCTATTGCCCCAGCCCCATCTTTTGGATTTTTTTTAATGATCTGCAAATAATAATCTTGGCCTCTTCTTTCCTCATCCTGTGCCTTTGTATGTCTCTGTCCTGCCTTCTGACTGGCTAGGACACTTGGCACAGGTTAAAATAACGTGTTGGTGCTAACTAAGCATTCTTGTTATTCCTGTTCCTGAAAGGAAAGGTCATATTTTTGCCATCAAGTCTGATACTGTTTTTTCTTTCAGAGATCCTTTACTAGATTAAGGAAATTCTTTCTGCCTTGCAAAGTTTCATAAATGGTTGTTGAATTTAATTTTAAAAATTTTTCTGGGGGCTGGGGTTGTGGCTCAGTAGTTGACTCGCCTAGCACATGTGAGGCCCTGGGTTCCATCCTCAGCACCACATAGAAATAAATAAATAAATAAAGGAATTGACAACTACAACTTAAAAAAATATTAAACATTTCTGTATGTTCTCAACACAATTGGTTGCCTCCTTCCACATATATGGTGAGTTACCCTGATCAGTATTTCACTGCTCAACACCACCTACACCATCCTGTGTAAATCCAACTCGGAACAGATATCTGTATAAACGTTGCTGGATTGAGTTCATTAGTTTACTTAAGATTTTTGTAACTAAGTTCCCAAGTGAGAATGGCTGATTACTTTCTCCTTTTTGTACTGTCAGAGTTTTGGTATTAGTTAAGCACAGACTTTTCTGTTAACTACAAGCCTCCTTTATTAGAATGTCCTCCTTACGCTGTTGGTAGCACTGTAGAGACACTGGGCTTCCAGTTTCTTTGTGAAATTTTAAATCACTGATTCTATTCCTTTTAACAGTCATAGGACTAGTCATGTTTTCTACTTCACATACAGTTGCATGCAGTATTCTTCTTAATTTTCTATTTTATTTAAAACTTAACAATTGGCCCAAGTATTTATATTATCCTTTCATCTTCTGATATATACATTATGATGATATCTCCTTTTCATGCCTAAAACTGGTGATTTGTGCCTTTCCTCTCTGATTGTTTACTAGAGGATTGTTATATTTTTCTTTTTTAAATTTTATTATTTTTTACATGAGCTCTTATTTTTTTGCATTACAATTCTTTTTTTTAAGAGAGAGAGAGAGAGAGAATTTTTAATATTTTTTAGTTTTCGGCGGACACAACATCTTTGTTTGTATGTGGTGCTGAGGATCGAACCCAGGCTGCATGCATGCCAGGCGAGCGCGCTACCGCTTGAGCCACATCCCCAGCCCCTGCATTACAATTCTTAATACACCTTTATACCACAATTTATCATATATTTGTCTTTTTAATGAATCAACTTCTAGCTTTGTCAAGACTTTTTCCCCCCTATTTCCTTAATTTATATTCTTTTCAAAATAATTCCATTTTCTTTCTATCTTCTTGAGATATGTGCTTAATTCATTTGGTTATTTGGACAAGTTTGAAAACATTGTGTATTTGCCATTCCTTGGATGTAGCAGACTTTCTGAGTCTGGTTTATTCGACTTAGCATGATTTTCTCCATTTTCATCCATTTACCAGCAAATGCCATTATCTAATTCCTGTTTATGATTGAGGAAAATTCCATTGTATATGCACATTTTCTTGATCCATTTATCTACTGATGGGCATCTTGTTTGATTTTATAATTTGGCTATTATGTATTTGTGATGCTAGAAACATTATAGTGACTGTATTGCTATAGTATATCAATTTTAGTTCTTTTAGATAAATACCAAAGAGTGGGATAGCTGGGTCATATGGTGGTTCCACTCCTAGTTTGAGGAATCTCGACACTGCTTTCCAAAGTGGTTGTACTAACTTGCAGTTCCACCAACAATGAATGAGTGGGTCTTTCCCCCCACATCCTCACCAACATTTATTATTATTTGTATTCCTGATAATTACCATTCTGACTGGAATGAGATGAAATTTTTTTTTAAATATTTACTTTTTTTTAAGTTGTAGTTGGACACAATACCATTATTTTATTTATTTTTATGTGGTGCCTCGCACATGCCAGGCAAATACTCTACTGCTGAGCCACAACCGCAGCCCAAGAGATGAAATCTTAATGTAGTTTTGATTTGTATTTCCCTGATTTGATTTGCTAGACATGTTGAACATTTTTTCAAACATTTGTTGACCATTTGTGTTCCTTCTATTGAGAAATTCCTACTAAGTTCTTTTGCCCACTTATTGATTGGGTTATTTGGAGGTTTTTGTTTTGTAGTTCTTTATATATTCTGGATATTAACCCCCTCTCAGAGGAGTAGCTGCCAAAGATTTTCTCCCATTCTGTAGGTGCACTCTTCACATTTCCTTTGCCTAGCAGAAGCTCTTTAATTTGATGGCATCTCACTTATTGATTTTTGGTTTTATTTCTTGAGCTTTAGGAGTCTCGTTGAGGAAGTCGGTGCCTGCATCTATGTAGTGGAGTGTGACCCTGTTTTATTCTAGAAGTTGCAAGCTTACTGGTCTAATTCCTAAGTTTTGGATGCATTTTGATTTGATTTTTGAGCAGTGTAAAAGATAGGGGTCTAATTTAATTTGTCTACATATAGATATCCAGTTTTCTAAGCACCATTTGTTGAAAAGGCTGTCTTTTCTCCAACATACATTTTTGGTACTTTTGTCAAGTATCAGAAGACTGCATGCATGCATCTTAGTCTCTGTGTCTTCTATTCCCATGCTTTTTATCTTGTTATATCTCTGTGGTATAATTTGAGATCAGGTATTATGAGGACTCCTGCACAACTTTTCTAATTCAGAATTGCTTTGGCTATCCTGGGTCTCTGATTTTTCCAAATGAATTTAAAGATTGCTTTTTCTTGTTCGGTAAAGAATGTCTTTGGTATTTTGATGGGAATTGTATTGAATCTGTATATTGATTTTGACATTCTGTCAATATTAATTCTGCCTGTACAAGAACATGGGAGGGCTTTCCATCTTCTGAGGTCCTCTTCAATTTCTTTCTTCCATGTTCTATAGTTTCCATTATAGAGATCTTTTATTCCCTTGGTTAGATTCTCAGGTTTTTTAAAATTTTGTTTTGGTTTTGAGGATGTTGTGAAGGGGATGGTTTTCCTGATTTCTTTCTGAACTGAATTGCTATTATAGAAAAGCTATTGATTTAGGAATATCAGTCTTTTATCCTGCTACTTTGCTAAATTCATTTATCAGTTCTAGGAGTTCACTGGTACAATTCTGGGGGGTCTTCTAGATATAGGATTATGTCACTGGGAATCAGATAGTTTGACTTCTTTTCCTATCTGTATTTCTTTAATTTCCTTCTCTTCCCTAATTATCCTGGCTAGAGTTTCAAGGACAATATTGAATGGAAGTGGTGACACCAGACATCCTTGTCTGGTTCCTGATTTTAGAGAAAATTCTGTTTTTCTCCATTCAGTATGGTATTTGCTTTGGGTTTATCATGTACGGCCTTTATAATGTTGAGGTAAGATCCTGTTATCCCTAGTTTCTGTGTTTTTAACATGAATGGTTGCTGTATTTTATCAAAGACCTTTTCTGTGTCTATGATCATGTTTCTTGTTCTTAATTCTATTTA